CTACAGTTGAGGGAACTCAGAGAAGTTATTTCCCAGGTCACACAGCTAAAAACTGGGGAGGACAGGGGTTTGAAGACAGGGTTTGTCTACCTCTCATTATTTCAATCACCTCCTATTCAGCCCACTGATGACAAGCAGATTCTCTCCCTAGGGCTACAGGAATAGCTGAACATGAGACACCTAACACTGGACAGCTAAGATCAGCAGCAGTTTACTAGTGACGTATGCTCACACTCAAAGAGAAGAATTGCTGCACCATGCAGGGCCACACAGGAGGTGCAGTCGAGCACAGAGTGAACCACAAGAGGTTGTGGAAGGCAGGCTGTGTAGTATTAAGAGGGTGGAGTCCCCCTTGGTTCCCATGAGAGGATAGATTGGCTTGTTTAGATAATTCTGCAGACCAGCAGAGAACTGAAACTTGCTACTCAGGGATAAGCAAGAGCTACACCTGGCTCATTTAACAAGAAGGTTCCTTTGGTCACTGGACTTTATCTGTGGGACTCTAGAGTGGGAAGGGGAACTTGTGATTAGGCATTTGAGACCCTCCCAATATTATCAGATGTCAAGGAACAGATAATATTGGACCTTAATTTTAAGCCTTACACCAACCCCATATTAGAAACCACATGAATATTAAAAGAGAAAACAGGAGGACTGGTAGTAAGGAGATGAGGCAGAAGTGGCCTTTGAATAAGGCAGCCTAAAAATAGAGTCAGTCAGCGCCCCCTCAAGAAAATGCATGGTTCTTTCCAAATGCCTTACAATCTTCCAGAAATTCTTTCTTATTTCAACAATACTGCAAAATTGGCAAGGCTGGTCTCTCTGGGAAGAACCTCAAGGGCAATATTTTAGGGCATTTGAGCTCATGAGCATGATAGACGATGGCTGACTTGCATCCTGGAACCAGTTCAACTCCTACCCATAATACCAATGGGTTTTGCTAGTATGGTTTTAAACACCCATAAAAATCAAGCTTTATTGATGGGGAAAACATAATATCTTCTTGGAAGTGGGCCCTGCTTTGTGCAAAGAGAGTATACACAATGTTCCAACTATAGATAACTGACCCAGGAGTCCTCTAGGGCTATTGTGGCCTCAAACATAAACACAGCGGAAGAACTCATTCAAAGCAGTGTGACTGGCAACTAAGTCATGTCACTCTTGCCTGCATTTTAGATACTTAGTTGTGTCAAATATCAAATTATTTTCATCTGTGTGGGATGAAGAGCTGTTTGAAGCTCTTGCTCATTTTGCTTTGGGCATGTGTGTGTTGTTGTCATTGTGATGTTCTTATCTTCATCTCTGAGATTAAATTACTTCTGCACTTTTACACACCCATGCAAAAGAGAGGAGGTGAGCATTGAGGCCAACAGTCCATTAACTGGCTGGGGAGATATGCAACCTTTTTAAATGCATTGCTTGGAGATGTATCTCCTATGCGCTTTCCCTCCGCACTTAAGTGTGCACATGTGCACACATCACACACACACCACACACACACACAGCTGTGCACTAATGCCACAGACAGTCTGGGTCGAGCTTACCTTTGCCATTTGCCACCTCCCTCTTTCACCCCTGCTGTAGAGAATATTTGCAGACATTTCAGTGTCTTCACCTCCTGACAGTCCTGCTGTTTGGAATGCTTTTCCCCACCACTCTCCTCTCTCCTGCACCTGCCACCTCACCCTGTTTCACTGGTTGACTCACACTCACCCTTCAGAGCTCACTTCTGCACAGAGGTACGCGCTTTAATTAGAACCCTGCATTTCCCCTTTGTCATTCTCTGTGTTTGGAGGCTGCCCTGGGGTTGCACACAGCAGGCCCTTCAGCTACAATATGGAACGTGGTCAGACGACACGGGCAAGACCACAGCACCAGCCAGAGGGGTTGCACCTGTTCATTTCCTTCTTTTTTTTTTTTTTTTTTTTTTTTTTTTTTTTTTGAGACAGCATCTTGCTCTGTTGCCCAGGCTGGAGTGCAGCGGCATGATCTCGGCTACTGCAACCTCCACCTCCCAGGTTCAAGCAATTCTCTGCATCAGCCTCCTGAGTAGCTGGGATTACAGGTGCCCACCACCATGCCTGGCTAATTTTTTGTATTTTTAGTACAGACGCGGTTTCACCATCTTGGCCAGGCTGGTCTTGAACTCCTGACCTCGTGATCCACCCACCTTGGCCTCCCAAAGTGCTGGGACCACAGGCGTGAGCCACCGTGCCTGGCCACACCTGTCCATTTATTTCCCTGAATTGTTCTCAAATTGGTCTTCTTCCTTTCGACCCTGTTTCCTGCCCGTTTCAGACCACCACTGATATCCTATAAAATACGTTAGCAGCCTTTTAACTGGCCCTGCCTCAAGGGTTGTCCTGCCCAATCTGATGAGGCAAGAGGCACAATCTTTTGCCTTGGGCTTCATTCCTGGATTCTGTACTATAGAGGGCCCAGCTCTGGCTCTCAGCGCTCTTGGGTCTCAGCTGCACCCCTCCCTATGGAACAAGGAGTCTGCAGGCTAAAGGAATGTTCCCAACAAAGCGCTATCTCATCCTCCACCCCCAGAGGATTCCAGATTAGAATGCAGATACCCAGGACGCTGCATTCCTGATATGCCAGCCCTGAGCCAATTCTGGGCTTGCACAGCACTCCTCCCCTGAAGGTGGAGCCACTGCTAGTGTCCACACTACCAGGCCTTGAAGCGTGGTCAAGGGGTAGCAGTTTCCCTGGGAGTGGGCTGTGGAGGGAGACTGGACATAGGACGGTAAAAACACACACCCGCCCAAGTCGGGAGAATCTGGGGAGGGAAAAGACAAGAAGCAGGCAGCAGGCTGTAGGCGCTGCAGATGTGAGGACAGGCTGAGGTTGCTCCCTGTCTTGAATCCTCAAGGACTCCCTACTTCTTTCAGGAAATAATGCAAACCGCTTAGCATCGAAATAAGGCCCCAGGAGAGCGTTCCCCTTCTGTACTTCTCCAACTTCGACCATGTCTCACAGTTTTTCTTTCAAATTCTCATTCCAGACCCACTAAACAATTTGCATGCCCTTAGCGAATAATTGATCCTATTTTATCATGACTCCTTTACTTTCTGGCCCACTTTTCCCCACTAGACTGTGTGCTTCTTGTCATGTCTTATCCTCTGTGGACGTCTCCCCAGCATCCAGGATCGGGCTTGGCACACAGTAGAGTTCTGCGAAATACGGTATGTTGGGGGAGGAGAGAAAGCAGGAAGGGGCCACAAGAGCTGTGTTCCTGCCTGTAGGATTTGTACCCCTGAACCTCTGAGAGCAACGCCAGACCACATGGCAACACTCTGGGATGCTTAGACTTTAGTAGAGTTCAGGAATAGGGGAAAGAGTGAGTGGGAAGAAGATAGAATAAGTAACGAGAAATATTTGTATGGAGATAATGATGAGAAACAAGCCTTCATTAGAAATTCTTCCAGAATCAGAAGCTGCAGTTCCCACCCTGGCTCTGCCAGGAGCTTGATGTGTGGACTCTGGTTCAGGGCATTGCCTGGGAGCCCAAGTTCTGAACTATCTTAACCTCTGGATGTGGGACACTGCTGTGCACACTATGATAAGAGATGAAGAAATATGTTTTAGGTAGATTAAAAACATTCAAAAACAACTTCAGAATTATTTTGCTGTCTGCTGCCACCATTGCTTTTTTCATTTAGAGAAGGCACATTCCTGATGTAACCCTGGACTGAGGCATCCGTAGACAGGTGCATTATTTCAGTCCTGGTTCTACCACATATCATCTATGTCAGAGGTCAGTAAACATTTTCTATAAAGAGACAGATAGGAAATACGTCAAGTTTTGTGAGCCTATACTTCTCAACTGTGCCTTTGCAGTGCAAAAGTGGCCACAGAAAATGCAGAATGGAATGGACATGATTGTGTTCCAATAAAACTTTATTTACACAAACAGACAGTAGGCCGGATTTGGTCCACTGGCCTTAGTATGCAAACCCCTAATCTCTATGATCTCCAGCATCTCAAACATTATCTGAAAAAAAAAAATGGGATATGATATCTGCCTCTATAGAAGATGAAGAAATAATATATGAAATTATTTTGAAAACTAGAATGAACTAAAGCACTAGCAAAATGTACATCCGTGGTAGTAGCAATAGTGTTACTATGCTGTAGTTAGTCTCATTAATAAATCACGTTTGTTAAGTACCACTATATACTAGCTGCATTGTATTGATGATATTACTCAATCTTCACAAAGATCTTGCAAAAGAAAATGCTTACAAACATACAGATGAGGAAACTGAGGCTCAGAGGCTGTGACTCAAGGGTTACATAGGAAGTCAGAAGTAGGACTGAATTCTAACAGCAGTTCCTGGAACCAAAACCAACAATGACCTCAAAAAAATATATAATGTGTTAAGCATGTAAATAACAGATATATATAGATGAGTACATGGCTACCAACAGATGGGCCGCTGCTGCATTTAGTCAGCGGGACAGGATCAGGTAACATTCCTGTTGCTATCAAATGACAGAAACCCCATGCTTGCCATGGCATTTGGGTGCTGGACACTCTTCCCTGGAGGAAAAAGGCCTTTTGTGGCAGGGTCCCAGATTTAAATCCTAAACGAGGTGAGCTACCCGTGATGGGCTCTGCCAGTGGTGCAGGGCTGACCATCTCTGCAAAGGATTGTCTGAGTCACAAGGCAGCCCTCCAGAACTTTCTGGGCCTGCCTGAAGCCAGGCCTGCATCAGCCCCGCAGGGAGGCGTGAGCAGCCGGCACCACTTGAACGCCGAGTCTCCTGCTTGGAGGAGGCCAGATTTAGCAATCTGTCACACACAGCCCGCCTCATTGTGACACTGGGCTCCAAGAGGCTGGCAGCGCGGGCAAGCAGAAAAGCATCTGTCGGCATGCCACGCAGACAGGGATTAGAGAGGATGGGGGAGGATAATTATGGCATTTGCTTTCCTATAAAGTGCATGTCAGGAGGAAAGGATTAAGCTAATTGAAGAAATCTCCAGCACTTACGTCAAAGGTGGCTGAAAAGCGATTGCTTTATCTTGCATCTCACCTGCTTCTGAGAGCCCGGCTCAAGGAGGCCTACCCACATCTCCACTTTGTCCCCAGCAACTCTTTGCAGAAATAGTTTGAGTTGGCGTTAGCCATTCTGCAAAGGAGAGAGGAGCTAAAAATAAGAGCATGTGAAGGATGCTCCCCACTTTTTTTTTTTTTAATTTCCAAAGCTCACATCAAGTTTCTCAGAGAAAGATGGAAAGCTGATTTTCCTGAGGTTTACACATTTGTGTACGTGTGACAGGTGAAATAAATGGCACCTGTAGTGCACGTACTACACGGGGACAGGTGGCGGCCGCCCTCAAACTCTATCTCTTTTTCATCTCTCTGGAACATTAGCTTATGCTCCTGAGGGCCAGGCTGCATGCAAAGAGAAAGCTTGGGCTTCAGGATCATTTATCATCACTCTCCCCCATGCAAAACCCAAACATCTCCAAACCCAAAACCAATGGAAAAACACAGGAATAGTCTTTTGTCCTCTGTCATCCAGATGGAACTTGGTTTTTGAGTTCCAGGTGACAGGTATTGGAGTTGTTGTGATAATGAATTTGGAAAGGAAGCAAATAGAAAGATTTCCTCTTTCTTTTAATTCCAAATATTATACTACATATACACAAATATGACTTGCTCAATGGACTATCATTTTTCAAAGAATAAGATATCACATCTGGAAAACATAGTTAGCTGCCTAATTTTTGCCGTAAAGCATCCTTAGACAGCTTAGATAATGAATTGCCAGAGGAATCTTAGAAATATTTGTTCCAGTGGTTAGGACCAGAAAGCTGGCTCTATTCTCTGTCGCTTTCTAGCTCTCTGACTTTGGGTAAGTTATTTCAACTCATTTTCATTTCTTCATTTGTGATAGCTCAAGAAAAGTATCTGGCATATAGTAGGGACTAAAAACTGGGCACTGTCATTGTCATTATCACCATCATCTTCATCTACCAGAAAGGCATAAGGTATTGTATTAGTCAGAGGTTGCCAGAGAAACCGAACCAATAGGGTGTGTGCATATATCCTATTATACATGATAGAGATAGAGACTGAGACATAGAAAGAGATTTATTTTTAAGGAATTGGCTCACACGATTATGAGGGCTGGCAAGTCTGAGATATGTAAGGCTGGCCAGCAGGCTGGAAATTCTGCCAGGATTTGATGTTGCAGGTTTGAGTGCAAAGGCAGTGTGGAGGCAGAATTCCTTCTTCTTTGGAGGATCTCAGTCTTTTTTCTTAAGGCCTTCAACTGATTGGATGAGGCCCACCCCCATTATGAAGCATCACCTGCTTTACTCAGAGTCTACTGATTTAAATGTTAATAATTTCTTAAAAAAATATCTTCCCAGCCACATCTAGACTGGTGTTTGACCAAGCAATTGGGCACTATAGCCTAGTCAAATTGACACATAAAATTCACCATCACCAGTATGTTATTTCAGGTTTTCATCTTATACAGGTTTTCAGGGAAAATCTATGCAGTAAACATTGAATAAGCCAGATGTGGTGGCTCATGCCTGTAATCCCAGCACTTTGGGAGGCCGAGGTGAGTGGATCACTTGAGGTCAGGAGTTCGAGACCAGCCTGGCCAAAATGGTAAAACCCCAACTCTACTAAAGATACAAAAATCAGCCAGGCATGGTGGCAGGCACCTGTAATCCCAGCTACTTGGGAGGGCAAGGCAGGACAACTGGTTGAACCTGGGAGGTGGAGGCTACAGCGAGCCAAGATCACTGCACTCCAGACTGGGTGACAGAGTGAGCCTCTGTCTCAAAAAACAAAACAAAACAAAATGAATATATCTTAGACTTACAACATGCTATCTTAAAAGGAACAACAACAACACAAAAGGTACAACAATCACCTGCTTAGCCCCCTTGGAACCTACCAGAAATCATAGCTGGCGTCCCAGTTTCCAGCCCCCTCTGCCTTTGGGTTAGTGTGTGGTTTTAGGCAGGTTCCTGAGAATCTCTAAACTTCCGCAGCTGCAACTCATACTGAACGTATCTGCCCTGCCTTCATAGGGGAAAGGTGAGAATAAAATTAAGCAACTCTTGGGAAGGGCTTTGTAAATAAACTTTAAAATGTCTCAACATAAGACATTATCCTACGAGAAGTGTAGTGCTCTGGACAGGCTGAGTCCAATTATTTGTACTAAAGCCAATAAAAGGCAACTCTAACATGTCATAAGTTTGACCTAACTCTAATATGTTAGCTAACAAAATCATTAATGTTTTCAATTAGAATTAATTTCCTTGCCTTCTTGTTAATCACATCCAATTCACATCCAAACGCCATTCTTGGGATTTAGAATGGCTTTTGGATATGAATTAGATGACCAAGTTGTCTGAACACTAGCCTTTCCCCCCCCTTCCCTCAATAAATTTTCACATGGAAAACATGTCATTGCCTTTGAGCAGGGCTCAAAGCAGCAGGTCCAACAAATGTTTGTTGTAGGATAATTCATTCATTACAGAGATATTTATGGAGCCCTCGCCTTGCACCATGCAGCTTGCGGGGATCTGGACGAAGAGGGTGGTGACTTTAAGTGCTGAGAGTTCAGTCATGGGATAGCATAAGAATTTGATAGATGTCACTATTTATTATTGGTTCATATATTATTATGTGACCATTTTTATAAAAGTAAGACAGGATTAATGATTTAAAATAAAGGCATGGCTGAGCCCAACATTCTTTCTAACATCGGCAGCTTTTTCAAAGTTCCCAGGCTTGCGCTCAGCATCAGTATAACATCACAGCAAAGCCAAGGCACCAACAGACCAGAAGAGTGAGGCAATTGTTCTTTGGAAAACTTCACCATCAAAGGAAATTGTCTTGTGTTGTCTCTCAGAACAATTCACACTTCATTGGGAAGCTATAAAAACAATTACCAGGTCATTAGTAAAGGTGATTATTTCTTTTTAAGATTCAAACACCCACTCTCAGAATGACCTTAGCTTGCATTTCAGTGGGAGGCAGTTGCTGTAGTGGAAAGAGTGGAAGCTTGGGAGTGGAAGCCAAACAGCCCTGCAGCAGGTGTTTAGTCTTTCCCGGGCCTCAGTTTCCTCAGCCCTACACTGAAGAAGCTAGGAGTCCCTGCCTATCTCACTGACTGTAAAGAGGTTGAAATAAAATGGCTTGGAACTGGATGCAGAGGTACAAGGCAAGCCTGGGCAACATAGCAAGACCCTGTCTCTTAAAAAAAAAATGGCTTGAGAATGACTGCCACCACCAGCCTGGCACTTGGAAAGTGTTCTGAAAATGCAATCCTTTCCATTCCCAGGCTCCAAGTTACCTGTGTTTGGGGCTAACGATATGAATCAATAAAGCAGGAAAGATGGAACTGAGCTCTGGATTCACTGGAATAGGCTAGGTTGTGCTACAGTAACAACCTGAAAACCTCAGCAGCTGAAAACAACCAAGTTCATTTCTCACCACAGCCCACGTCCATCCATCACGGGTTGACAAGCGAGCTATACCTGCCTTAGCCACTCAGAAACCCAGGCTGGCAGAAGCTCCATCTGGACTCATGACTCCAAGATCAGGAGGAAGAAAGAAGGCGTATAGCAAACAATACACTAGCTCTCAAAGTTTCTGCCTGGACGTGATACACATTACTTGCACTCACATTTCATAGACTGAAGCAAGTCATATTGCTGCACTGAGTAAATGGCATGGGGATGTATCATCTTACCACAGCCATAAAGACTGGAGGTGTAGGAAGGGACTATGGTACAGGAACTTGGCTCAAGGCAATTTCCATATGTAATAAAAAAGTACATGGAATTCTAGCAAACGTTTAGGCTTTGAATCCTGTCACAGCAATTGAAATTATTTTCTATACGGGCTGGGTGTAGTGGCTCACACTTGAAATCTCAGCACTTTGGGAGGCTGAGGCAGGTGAGACATTTGAGGCCAGGAGTTCAAGACCAGCTTGGTCAACATGAGAAGACCTGATCTCTACAAGATTTTAAAAATTAGCCAGGTGTGGTGGTGTGCACCTGTGGTCCCAGCTACTCAGGAGGCTGAGGTGGGAGGATCACTTAAGCCTGGGAGGTCGAGGCTGCAGTGAGCCATGATCATGTCACTGCACTCCAGCCTGAGCAACAGAGCAAGACCCTATCTCAAAAACAATTTTTCCTATAACCCATAGTTTGTTTAAACATTTAGACCTGTGTTTATTCAGTAATTTGGTTATGTTATCCTCAATGCTCCAGGCACTGTTCTACGCTCAGTGAACATGATCTAGTCCTGCCATTATGAAGCTTACCTTCTAGAAGGAAGGCAGATGACAAACAAGTAGAACATATATACTTACATTTCAAGGCTTATGTGCTAAAAAAATAATAATAATAAAGTGGGTAAGGGTACTAAGGATGACTAAACTGAAGTGAGGGACTCAAGAGGATGTTGAATGAGTTGTATGCTATTCCCTTCAAATTTTATTTTATCACCTCCTCAGTTCTCTAAAGCTTTCTGGAAGGCAATGTGACTGCCTCAAAATAACAACAGCAATAACAATTTTCACAAACACAAGCGCTAACACCTTTCTCCCACCACCACCGCCTTGATCCAACTCCTTCCTCACAATGTGAACCTCAGATACTGGGCAGTGCTCCCGGGCTCGTGCTGCACCATTGCCCCACGGGACACAGAGTGTGGCAGGTTAGCCCAAGGCAGGACAAGAGTGGCCTCCACCAGGGCCTGGGGTTACCATGTAACCACTGTTGAGGCCTCAACTTCCCTGTGCATCTGTACTGATGGAACTATTCCATGTATTCACCCACACCTGTGCATGGATGTTCAGGTCACCTGTTAGGAGCCAACACAGAACTGAGACGGAGGGAGGAGGACCATAGGAGGGAGGGATAGCCCATTTCCTGAACACCCCACTGGGCCAGTTGCTGTCCACACACACCTTTTCTTATCTAACCTTCTCAATATCCTCATGAGGTGAACATTATGATCTCTAGTTTGAAGATAAGGACATTTAGGCTCAGAGAAAGGAGGTCATTTGTTCTAGGTCACAGAGGAGTAAGTGCCAAAGGCGTGCTCTTTTC